CATTCCAAGATTTAACGGCAAATGCACGGGGGAATTTATGATGCGTATGATGAGTACGTAGAGTTACCGAGCATATAAATGTACTAACGTCAAAAAATTGGGATACTCTCCACCACCCTAATACACCCCATCCTTCAATTTAAAGCTCCTTCAATTTTTTTCCGAAAATGCTCAGGAGACTGAAACGTCAAAAACCAAAGTTGAGCGATAGATATTTTGTTTTTTCCCTAGGTCCGTCGCCACTCGACCGGTTCCCAGAAACTACATGGTTATTCCATCTTTGGCACAGTAGTAACCTTATGTGACAGTTTCATCAAAATTCAAAAGCTTCTTTCCAAATTATAGACTGGCTAACGATTAGTGGCAGATGTAGACAGACTGACTTATAGACCAGCGGAAATGAATATCATGTTTTTGCGATATAATGCCTCAGTGGCGTGGGGAGTTGTAACGTGCCAAAATCACGTACCCTTTTTTCACTATTTTAATCATTAATCAGTAATTTGCATTCTCCTTATTAATGGTAGAGTGTCCATTCCTAGACCAAACCCTTTTCAATGATTTTCTTTTGGCAAATTTCATAGCTTATTGATTGTATAATTTCACACGTATTATATCTTTCTTTCTCATCGATTCAGTATTGTGTTGAAATCTCTTTGACACTAATATTATAGTATTTTATTTAACGCCTACTCAGAAATTTCTTCATAAAATATCGTTGGTCCCCCGTAGAGTTGGTTCCGTCCATTGGCAATCAGTCTGTGAGTTCTGTACGTACTGGCCTGTACAGGAATATTTGGTTTCCTACCAAGATTCCTTCTTTACCTATCAAGATACTTTCTTCACTGGTTTTTCTCCGTGCCTTTTGATTTCCTATCGAACATACCTTCTTCAAGACCACTCATTTTAACTTTCTTTTACTAAGTTAGGTATTTTGCATCATTTTTACTTTCCTGTTGTGATTTTTGGTACGCGGGTCGTTTGTTTTACTTCCAGATTCTGGTATATTAGACCCCCAAACATCAGTTTGTGGAGTAGTACCCCTTTTTTTGGTACCTTACGTTTAGTTTTTTTGGTTTGGGTGCTACCCCGTCCATTTTCTTATGGGATTGTAACCTTCAGCGTGGAAAGGCATTGTGGAGAATCACCACTCACCACTTCTCCAGCTTTGTTTTGTATCCGCCTTGTAGATGTCTTGCAGCTGATATTGCTGGGAGCCACCCCGTCACCTTGAGCAAAAAAAACTCTGTTCACATCAGGTAACAAAGGAAAAGATCCAGAGATGTATTCAGTATTCCATTAAAATTCTATGAGAAAACGTTCATTTTCCATTTCTGAAGATGCAGACACGATCCAAAATGTTGAAAAATTGAGATTGCAACGTAAACGTTATGACACATAACAATCCAGCACTTCACCTCCTAGATCAGCAGACTTGCTGTTTGTCAAATGTTTGTTTAGACATGGTAGCTAGAATTTCATAGCGGACAATCCATTACCATAATATATCAGAATACATCGTATGCTATCTCAATATTTTTCTTGCCTATCGTAATTATGCAACAAAATGTTGGTTAATTTCTGAGAAAACTATAATTTCCTTATGTATATATGTTTGTAAAATCGTAACTTCTTCGAAATTAGTATGTCTCCCTTTATTCTTAAAGCAATATTATATTTTTCTGAACGCTCTGGAGTCTAGAACATTTTTGCTCAAAAAATCTTAAACCCCCTTATCATCCTTTTTATATCGATAAGTTGTAGGTCTCAAATTACAAAAGAAAAATCTTTATGGGATTAAGGTTCTTACACAACTTTATGAGATGCAGAATTACACATACATGGTATATAAAAAGTATTTGGGTTTTCTCATCCCAGTTCGAAAAAGAAAGCCACGCAGTAGTATTAAATAATGAAATAGATCCAGTTTTCTTAATAACATAATTATACCGTATAACTGTCCCCCTCTGCAAGTCCCACAACTATGAGCCCTCTTGATTAAGTTTTCCATCACTAGATTGCTTTTCAGCTGCTTTGTAGCACTTGGTTTGTTAGTACGAACCTTATTTTCGAGAAATGGAGACAAACATGAGTCTGAGATCGTTAATGCTTCATGTTTCATGCAAAACTCCCAAATTTCCATTAAATACAAAGATAAACAGATTGGATCAATTTCATTTCGTTCTAAAGATATCAGAGAAACAAGCCAGTCATTTATATTTTGATGTACAGTAAGTAGTCCAAACTGGTTTAGTTGAAGCTCTCGTAAAGGAGGAATGCTTAGTTCCTAAACTCTTCAGGGAAGTATATTGCAGATAAAAGGTCTCACTTTATTTTTACTTTAAGAAGTGTTATCGACACCTCCGCCAAGGATGAGGTAATAAATATTAAAGATAAGGATCTATTTACATAACAGTAATTAGATGAATCTGCCTCCTTTATATTTTGTCAAGTGCTTAGAGAGACAGAAAAGGAGATCGAGAGGTACGAGCCTTGGCAGAAGTGTGGTACACATTATTTATTTATTTATTTATTTATACTCTACCCAACAGCTACAGAGTAGGACAAAGTCCAAATATCAAAAATACACAATATCTTACATTATTGCGCACAAATGTAGGAGGTTCAATCACAAGGATACTATATACAAATATTTACAAAAATGGCAGTGTAGATAAAAAATTAAATAGCAAATAGCAGACAAGACATCATAAGGAACAACGCAGAAGACAATACATCAGAGAAATAAATATAATTGATCCACAATGTAATTCGCTTTACCACATGAGCTATACAATGGAGAAAACTTTAAAATGTTTGTCCTAGGGGTAGGCAAATAGAAGGTATTGCATTGTCTAGCATTCAAACGCGGGACAAGGAAATTAAAATCACGCAATATATTGCAACAATCAATACGATTGTGCAATATGTCAGTCACGAACTTAACACTGCACTTATCACGCCTCTCCCTAAGACTTTGAAAATCGAAAGTTTCTTCTAAAGACTCTTGTGGATAGCCAATCGGTGGGTAGATGCCATTTTCCTTAAAATAAAGGTAGGTACTTCAAAAAACGCCGTTGGATATTTTCGAGTTTGTCTATCCAGAAGCAGTAGGAGGGCTGCCAAATAATTGCCGCATATTCAAGCTTCGATCATACAAGTGAGTTATATAGAAGCTTAATTGTTTTAATATCCTGCAACTCGCAACCACAGCGTATGATGAAGCCCAGCTTTTAACTCTCTGCAATAATTGGATCCATATGACCATTGAAGCAATATTTACTGTTGAAAATGACACCTAAATCCTTTATTTCATGCAATCGATTAAGGGGCACACCACTAATATCATAGCCAAATATGATCGACTGTGTCTTGTTCGTATAACTGACCACATTGCACGCCAGAACGCTGAATACAGATTCTTTATAGGTATTTCTAGTAACTTGAACTGTTTGCTTATTTTTCGATCTGTATCAGAAGCTCTCTAGCTGACTGAATGCAACTTTGCCATTGTCTCAAAGACACAAAACAATCTGAAATGAGACGAGTTGACTTGCTGGCGGTTGTATGTACACTCTACCCAAATCCTTATTAACAGCTACGGCTAGCGGCTTGAGAGAGCGATATGGGTAGACAAGTGAGCTTTGTTTACCCCTCTAATTTATAGACCGACAAAGAGGCAGAAGTCGTAACAGCACTTCTCGGTATTCGTCGGATGGTGTAAGCGCGGCACTCCACCCCCAGATTTCTGTTGCATCCGGTCCTAATTTTTGGTTTTATTACTTAAGGCCCGTATCGTCAGTCGTCCCTACAATTGTAGGGCGCCTTTATGGCCTCCTTGATTGTAATAGTTTTCTATTTTTCCATGTTAGTGCTCAATTTTGAGGTTATGTCACAAACATCTATTTGCATCAAATTGTGCTTGCTTTTGAGTTATATCATGTTTTATCAGCCTGAAATTTCCTACAATTTAAAAGGAAAACATATCTTCACAATAGGAGAGCGCTGACGCTGACACGGGACAAGCGTAATGTAGAAATTTTTGAAGGAGAGAAAGGAGTATGACAATTAAGGAGGCCATAAACGCGCCCTACAATTGTAGGGACGACTTCGATTCGGTGGTTTCCAAGAAAAGGGTTGCTGAGCGCGATCTATATGTTTTTGCAAAATTTTTTAAGATTTTATTACAAGGTGATCTGGAACTTCGTTTTACTTCCCATGCCCTGGTGAGGAAGTATTGTAATCGCGAAAAATTTCGAATATGAGAAATTGTTTTTTGGATGTTATATGACACGAACACTCATGTCACTTTTTTCCGTCGGGATGTTAGTCTGTCTCTCTGAGAGATATGAGATAGAAACACATTCTGTACCGCCCCCATATCTGAATACATCAAGCGTCTATATTTATTATTCGTATTTTTCGGTCTGTGACAAAACTTACAAGCGTTAAGATAACAACTAAACATTATAAAAAAGAAACGTTTACTGTTTACTTGATGAGAAACTTCAGGTATCGGTGTCTCACATGTTGCTGTACACATGTACATACTATTCGAATTTGTATCAATTCGATTCAAATGGAGGAGTTTTGTACCTTCTTCCTAAACTCGCAAAATTCGGGGTTGTCTATTTTTCCTTCTATGCACCACCTTGACTTTCCCTCAAACGGCATTTGTATAAGATAAATACACACAGCGTAATATGGAAACGCTCAAGAAAACCGCAAGCTATCAACATCAAGCCGACAAGCGTGTTACTATAGGAATTTGCCACTTTCGATTTTACCAATTCTGATTTACAAACAAACAGCTTAATTTACCTTGCATACTGATTCATGCCTAATCGTAATCCCGATAAATTATTGCTCAGTATTTACCCTGGTGTATCAGTATTTGTCATGGAATGTGATATTTATTGACCGTGTAATCGGGAAGTGATGTATAATGTTGCGTGGAAATCCACTGACACTGACAGAATGATCAGTAAATACTGATGGTACGGACCACAGTCGATACTCCTCCGTTCACAAAGAATACACGTTTTGTAAAAGAAAATTACAACTTTTGCAATTACTTGGGTTCCAGTATTGCTGAAAATAATAACAACAGGTTCGTATAATAATTTGAAAATAATTTCTGAAATTTTATGGATAATGCTCATACATTAAAAATAAAAAAAAATAAAACGTACACTAAAAAATATATGGATTCGCATGACGCGTACATACCCAAAACAATCCATGATTCTATCTTCTGCAATAAAGACAAGCTGCTTCAAAACATTTACATAACGTAACATTTATTATTTGAATGATATCTATATGTGATAACCAGTTTCGCAAACCACAAAGCAACAAGCGCCGACCATTATGTTACGAATATTTCTCGCGGTGACCCTTTTGTTAGCAGTATGTTGGGACTCGTGGTCTACCCCAATTATAAAGGGTAGGAAGTTCATGGATTTACCCGAGTCTTGCGGTGAGGGTACCAGATTTGCCCATGGTGGAAGTTGCTTGACGCCATTTCACATGGGGGTCAGAAATCGAACTGGATTGTCGGTCTCATTTGGAGGGCATAATGGCACAACACTGAACACTACAAGGTATGTTTTTAAGGTATCAAAGTAACGCTGCTTTTATTAATTTAATTATAACAAGGGTTTCTAAGAAACGCTTTTGACAGAAACAGTGTCGTTAAAATGTGGGATGGGCTTACAAAACGTTTTTAAAACACTTATGAGACACCATAACATATTCTACTTACCATTCTTTTACTACTCAGACACAACGCATCATCTGTCCACATTGGTGGTACCGATAGGGTTGCGGCTAATCATCAGGCAATGTATGTATTACTTAAAACTCAACATAATACTATTACTATAACGTTTTTTTAACATGAAATTTAAAGCAGAATGTGAACAGCGCATCATGCCTATTGACCTCTGTGCAACTTAATTTTTATTGTATTATATTATATTTTTCACTTTTACAGAATTTCTGGAATCTACTGAACAGTTTTTTCTGCTTCCTTATAGGTACAATGTCACATCATCCAACTTTGATTGTGGTACCCATCACAGAACAGCAGTTAATCATTCAAGGTTGGTGGTCTGCTTTCATAAGCTAAGCCCCCATATTTCAAAAATATAAATATTAAGAATTGATACTTTTGGCTCTAGTAGTCTGGTATATTAAAATGTGAAAAATATTTTTTTTCTATATTAATCAGCGTATCCGAACCTTGTACAATCAAGTGATGTTGAACCCTTTTAGAAAATTATTGAAGAAATACTACTATCAAACCCAGTACTTCTATCCTATTAAACAGTTTACTCGTATTTTAAATATAATGCGGGTATTTTAAGTAGAAACGTCGAAATACGTGATTTATGGTTAGAAACTTTTGACCTGTCGTCACGCACAGAAGTGTCAACTAAAAACATATGACTGAAAAATTTTAAAGTACAGTCCAGTAACAGTAGAAAGGTACAGATCAAATCTAGAAAAGACAGTAATTTTAAATTATTAACAAAATCTCTATTCGGTCCGTTAAATTTAAAACATAAGAATCCCAGATTGACGATTACATAAATAAGTGAATTGATGTCAAAGAGACATTTTTAGTGTATCACAAACGTCAATTCATTGATAAATGGAAGAATATATGTTTTCCTTAGAAAACATATTTGAGGCACACCTCCGATGATAACAGTACCAAGCAGGTTTGGACTTGAAAAAGTCGACAAAGATTAGGAATTTTCGGCCATGAAAACAACTCTAATTTTCTCTTCATGGCATCTATGAAATGTTTGTATTTAAATATTGTAGAGCATATTTATATATTTTCAGCTTTCATCAACATTTCTTTTTTGTATTTGCGTACTTGATTGCTTTTTAAGATGCCAAAGTTAGCAATCTTAGTTAGCATCTCTGCAGAAAATTCATCTATTTTCGAATATATAATTTAGTTCTTTTATATGAACTGCGCTCACAATAAAAACAAAAGTTGAGCACAATAATTATAATTGGATAATAATAATATTTAATTTCGATTTCGACATAAAGTCCAAAGAAAAACAACCGAAACCGAAACTAGGTTCGTACATTTTATGGCGACTTCCGAAGTGGTCGGGTTGACTTGTTGACGCTTTCGTTGATTCCATGTTCCTATTTTTGTGTGCGAATATTGTTTTGATCAAATTCGGAACGCCATAACTTTTTTAATATTCAGCTTTAATCTGCATGTTCGGCTTATTGCTGGTAGTTGCTTTTTAGTTTATTATACAGGGTAAATCAGATTGAGGTTCAATTACCCCAAGTTTGAGCCACTATGTAGGATGCCTTCGTCAGCCAATCAGAATGCCTCCATTGACAATAACCGTATATTGTCTATAATTTTTCCTTTACTCACGTTAGTATGTGCATTGGATGAACGTTTTGAATCAAATACACTTTTTATCAACAATTTACGTTACTGGTTCTCTCTTTATTCTCTTTATTATTTTTTTTTCCACATCGTCCTTCGTTTTGTTTTATATACTGAAAGAATGAAATAGGAAACTATTGCCCTAATTCTAGGAGTGCCAGCATAAAAACCAAAGTTAGAAATTTAGATGAAAGTCATTGTTTCGTTTCTTAAGAGAGATAAGAGTATTTCCGTTTGTTGGTTCAACGTTTTCTCAATTATATTTGACATAGAGATTAATTATTATAAATAAAAGAAAGAGATACACTACTACTTAACCTCTCTCATATGGGGTTCGGTTCTCAGAACATCTGAAGTATTCTTTTATCTAATAATTACTCTTATATCGCTTGATAAAAAGTCTCGGTTTCGAATAAAACTAAAACTAAGACCGGAACTTCGGTTTCGTTTTCGCTAAATATTCATCTAGGATATATTGATTTTAGGACAACTTCAATACAAAGGAATATGACTAATTCACATGCGAATGGGACAATGAGATCAGGATGCTTCTAAGTGATAAGGTTGCATTGTACTATATGTATATAATTAGAGATTTAAATTTCATTGGAAAATGGAATGGTAGAAAATTTAATTTTACAATGTATGTAAATCCTATAGATTAAAACGACGTAAAGCAGAAACATTTAATTAAACCTGTGCATAAGTTGTAAAAATTTTAAAATATCCTGAAGGAAGAATAATAAATAAAATGTGCCAATACATATTGTGTGTTCTATTCAAATCAGCATTACGGATGTTTGGCTAAAAACGTAATAAACAAAATATTTAGGCTAATATCTATGGGACGAGTAGATCAGTACGATGGAATCGCATGTAAACATTTAATACAGTATGAATGTTTGCATGCTTCTATGGTCTTACTGAGAATTGTTTACGAAAATTCGCTAGATAATAAACAGAAAGGTATGTATACAAATTCGGAGTACCTGAAAGAATTTTTGTAATATAAACAATCCATACAAATACTATACATAGTTTCAGTAACACTAGTTATTAAAATCAACCACTTGTCTGCATTTATTTCTTATCTTCACCCCATTGTTGCATTTCGTGTCGATTATGGTTCTGTCGACAACTATTGGAGCTTCAGTAGAACTGTCTGTTTCTCTATAATCATTTGTTCCTATTATATCCGTAGAACTGACTATTCTTGTATCTGTGTAATGATTTGTTCTCCTCATACTTGCAGAATTGTCTGTTCTACTTATATCTACAGAGCTGCCTGCTCCTATTAAGTCTGCTGAAACACCTGTTCTTGTTAAATCTGAAAAAATAAAACTACTTAATTTGATAATAGCACAGATAATGGAAGACTTTGGAGGAATAAATAGCCTAAAGTGCTGATTTCTTGGTACTTTTGGTAACACGAAAAGCTTTTTAAACAGAATTTTTGTATTTCACACTTTTATTTCAGATCGAGGATTAACAAATGAGATGTGATATAAGTGTCTATTAAGCCATTACCTAGTGAATATGTCTAATGTAGAAATTTAAAAAGCTTCTTTTAAAGAAGTGTAGGTACAGGGTGTTTCAGGAAAACGTGGCAATATTTCTAGGGCATAGCGTACATCACCGAGATATATGATATTAAATTTCAATTTTGAGATCGATAAACCTATACCTAATTGCAGCGATTTATGCTATTGACATATAATGTTGTACACGTACACAGCAGAGCCATTACATACATTTTCCTGTCTGAGTCTACACGGGGGAGAAATAGGTAAATCTTGACCCCTGTAGAAAAAAGAAAATAATTTTCTGCGTCACTGATTTGTTTGAAAGACATGTAACATTCTTGAATTTTATATGAATTGCCTCATCTATTCTATTTCGAAAATACGCTGAAGTTAATGAATCTTAATATATTGTGTTCAATGTTTAGGAGCGTCATATGATCCTTTTTGTTATTTTTAGACATACTTCCTACTACTGTCACGTTTTTCTGTATAAATGGTATCGATTAGCATTGATGTGCTTATTTCTGACATGCCCTGTATAATTAGCTTTCAATACTTTGCAAAGAATCCAAAGGTTACCATCGAATTAATTCATATCTTTGTTTATATCACAACTGATTAATCAAATTATGTGCGTCATTAATTATGTGAAGAAATTCCATCTTTTTTTGGTACATTCTTATTGCTAAAATTACCTTTTTGTCTAATATAAGCTCTCATCCTATTCCCTCCAACTTGCTCGGGAAAGAACACATCTTGAGCAAAGCCTGAGTAGATGAAGGTTAACACCAAAAGCATCACTGTCACAAGTTGTTTTGTAACGTCCGCCATCTTTACTTGACTTCGTCGGAAGAGTTCAACTGATAACATGACTGTGATTTCTTAAGAAAACCATGTTTAGGTCGTATCGTAAAGATACTGAATATAATTATAATGTTTTGAAAATTCCATGCTTTTTCGATGGATGTCAATGAAATAGTGTAGTTATCCTTGTTATAAAGAAGACCTATCACGTGAATTTGTGTTGTTGCAACCGAAACTTACAATTTGAGAATACGTCTTAATACCATGTAGCGTATGCAAATATTTTGTTGATCCGTTGGTAGGATAACATGTTTACCTACTAAAGGCGACTTTTACTATATCCATCTCTGTTATACATACTTACACCGGTATTCGATGTTATTGCTGTCTACTACTCTTTTATATTCAGCTTGCATATATTACAGCTTAATTTGTTTATATATTTGTTATGAACTATGAATCCTCAATTTTTTAGACTGTATTTTTTATTGTTGATTGCTGAGAATGTTATGTTATCTCTTGTAGTAACCAGAACGCATACTTGCCCGAAAACTTTTTGAAGAGCGGTGGAAGCAAATTTTCCGAAACCATACCAAATCCTGAGAATCATAAAATTTGTACACAAAATCTTGCCAAATATGCAAATTTTACGGTCTAGCAAGATCCCCAGGGAGAACCACGGCCTCACCTGCCTCCTTCTGCAGGCGTCCATGAGTGCAAGCATGACTGTCATACCTTATTACAGTTTTTACTGATGTATCAACAAAGTCACTTAATTTGTATTTGTCGCTTTTCACGTATTTTTTCACATAATTTATAGGAGATCGAAATTGGAGGAAAAATGACATCTCAACATGATTTAAAAAAAACTCACAGAATAGATGGAATGGGAGCTTCATTAGTGCTTCTAAGAGAGAATGTGATAAGAATATTTAGCGTATTTTTCTTTTTCAATGACATTTTGTGGGGGGAGGGAACTATCTACCACCTGACACTGAAGTGCTCTCCACAGGGCTACGTTCCAAAGTATACTTTGTAGCACCCAAACAACAAGATAAGCCTTCTGTCATCAAGTGTCATTACATGATTCTGTAATAATTTAGGCATTCTGAAAAGAAAGATACGCAGTCTTCCAGAGTAAAGTTTCATCTGTCAATCTACATTTCACTGTTGTGTATGGTATTACATTACCAAGCGATTTAGAAACGCGCCTCAGTAGTCTTAAAAGAAAAACCTAATGTGGTGCCCTTTGAAAATCTCCTGGCCATATTTTGTTTTTTATTTGAAGCATCATTTGATATTTGCATTCAAGTGAATAAGAAAAGTTACATCAACATTCAAAAGCACGAAACCACGTACTCCCATATTCAGTGGTCAAACAGACTACAACTGATGGACCTTCATTTCTAGCTCAGAAACCCTGAGTGCCTTCCTTACACATCACCGGCCTCACAGAATAGAAACCAATCATCACAGGGTGAAAAACGGATGAAATAGAATCTTTCACCGTTATGAAGCGAACTATGTTTCATAGTCACGTTACAGACAGTGATCTACATCTTTTGCCTTCTAGGGTCAAATACCAAAATAGAAAACAATATCCTAGCACATCGTACTCCACTGTTAGCGCTGCGAGATTTATTTTCTGTATAGTTAACTCTATATTGTTTAAATTAAATTACCCCTAATGAGCGGGGCCCTGGCAAATGCTTGTCCAGTATACAACTTCTTCCCGTTGAAGTGTTTGTACACGCGTTAAGGAATACCTCAGTACCGATTGCCGGGTGGCGGCACAAGTCCGCCAACGGGCCACTTTAGGTCTATTTAACATCATTAATACGTAAAAAGAAGGTGGTATACAAGGATCAGGCGACCGAGGTGGTACCACCCGCTAGCTTTTCCTATGGTGTCTTATAAATGTCCGCATGTTTCCACACCTAAGCTATGCAGTCGGTTATCTTCCAAATAAAGAAATTAATGTCGATGGATGATGGATCCCTCTTGGAATGTCCGGGTGGAGGGTGGTCTGGAGGGAACAACATCGAAGTTAAAATTTGGTTCACGAACATCTGTGGGATTAACAGCAACATTGATGCTGTTCAGCACTACTTGCAATCCGATCGTCCCGCCATGCTTTTCTTGGCAGCGACAAAAATCTCAGAGTCCGCACCGATTAACTATCTTAGCTTCCCAAATTACGAGGTGCACTCCAATCGTTCCTGCACGATCAACAAAGTCCACAGCTTCGCTGATGGCAGCACTCTACATGCAGGAAGTCAGAGTTACAAGCCGATCTCTGCCACTGAAGACTAGCGACGACTTCCTCTCTGACGAGAGACCTGGAGGTTATCACTGCTTGGGAACGCAATAATCTTGTAAAGTTTAATACTTCCAAAACAGTCCTGTGACTTGACGAACAAAAAGCGTCCTAGCGCTCATCCGGTTTCGATGGATGACCGAGTTCCGCCAAAGAGCTATTCATTTCGGATGGTCTGAGCCCAGATCTGGCACGAACACACCTCGGCAATAGTAGCGGCTGCTGGGAAAAAGCTAGGCTATTTGTTTAGGGCTAAGAAGAACTTTTCTCCGCATGACCTTCTCACTTTATACAAGGCGCAGATAAGGCCTAGCCTCGAGTATTGCTCACTTATTTGGGGTGCTGCCGCCCGGTTACATTGTTTATGCTCGATGCTTCTCTAACAGACAGTCTCGGCGGGCCGTCGGCGATCTAGCTCCCTTCTACTGCTACACCAAGGGGCTTTGCTCCTCAGAGCTCTCTTCCATGATGCCGCCGCGCGATGTGCCTGCCAGACAGACCAGCCTGACTTTGGCCTCCCATCCTAACTGGGTCGAAATTCGTACATCCAGAACTGGCCGATACGACCGCTCCTTTGTTCCGAGGGTGTCGAGATTGTGGAACAATCTACAAGAGGAAGCTTTTTCCAGTTTTACTAACCTTAGGCAATTCAAAAGTCGGATTAACATTCTTTGGGATCATTATATCTGCCACGGTGCCTCGGCATTCAGGCTTCTGCCTGCGCGGTTGCTTCGGTATAAAAAAAATACACGACCGATGAGCATGGGTAGACTAAATGGTAATACTAGGTTGATGGTACCTGCATAATGAGATTTGAACTATCCGCCAATTTTCCAAATCTCACACACAGGTGGCCCCATTAATTACTCAGCAAGACTAAGCCGATCCTGTCATTTACTCAGCCTGTAATGCACTGTAACATACTGTATACGTCCCACATTGCAAGCCGAACGTTTCCTTTAGGTGCGTGGGACTATATCTGCTGTATTTTCTTCGATGTCATTTAATTGCTGACTAAAGGCCTCAATCACAGGCAACCATTGGGAGTCAAGTAAACTGACGATGAATCATTGGTCATCCCAGACCGCAATACGTCGTCTGTATAATAATTAATAAGTAATTCCCCAAATCCTTTGCATTCCTACTCAGTGTGGCAATGTCGCAGTGCCCGTTCGCTCGCGACTCGCGGACACACATACCACACACCGCACCGTGAATCAGCGGATACGGCGAGGTCGTCTCGTCACGCCGCGCTGGTGGAGACGAGCGGTCGCAGAGGGGGGGGAAGGCGAGATAGTTCGGGAGGCACGCGGTCGGCACTTTGAACGGCAGCCACCCGCGGTCAGAGGCGTGGTTTTCCCACGAGCCCGATCTCCGCGCCGCGTTGCGGCCGTGACGCGCCCGGGCACGTGTGACCGGAGGCGACTGGCCTCGATGCGCTAACGCACGGTACTATGCCTGTTGCCAGATCGATGGAAATTTCCGCACAGTATTGACTTCCATGTTCATGCCCTGAAGTAGGGCAAAAAATAAAAGGTAAAATCTTAACAACTTTTGCTCGCCTCCCGAGTCCCAGCAATTAAAATCTATGTATACCTAATTCAAGAAGATTGAAATATATTCATAGGCTATGCACTGATCACTTTTATAAAAGTAGAAAAATACGAAATGCTCAAATATCCACTGAAAACTAGAAATGACAAAATCAAAATAATAAATAATAGAAGCAAAGAACCAAATGATTAAGTAAAGTATTTGTGTTTTATACCGGCGTATCGGAAAGTAGCATGCGATCTGTTTTGCTGTTTTCTTCCTTTTCAGTACCAGAGTATGATGCGATTTCTTTTGCTCGCTTGAGGACGACTTTACTAAGGAAATAGGGTCCATTTGTGTAAAAAGCTGCTAATAGTCCATATTCATCTATTCTTCCAGATTTACGACTTGTTCCTGTAATGGTAGGCAAGTTGTCTAAATGTATACCACATGATTCGATCGTACCGTGGGCAGTACAATGGAGCCAAATAATTTATGTTTAAACAACCATTTGAAATATAAAACATCACGAAACCATTCCCGTGAAAACGCAGTCCTCTGTAGCCAGCATCCTCAAGTAACGCCACTTGGGCACCATCTTGTAAAGGTAAGAACACTTCCTCCATGCATTTTCAATCCGGTGCAATGATGCGGAGAGGTCGTGATACGAGTAAAATTCCTGAGGACGGACTCTGTTTTCTTCGAATTATTTCCAGACCTCCTGAAAAATGACAACTTATTCAGGTTAGTTCCCACGGTTCCAACTTAGTATCAGCAACGAGCTGAAGCTAAGATATGGCAAAAACATTGCTTAAACTGAGTTAATACGTTAAAATAGGTAATTTGCACCTGAGAGATATGCAGTCCCATGTAGTCAGGTTCCTCCAGTGAGTATTAACTCCTTGCATATATCCTGGAAGGCGAGGCAAGAAGGACATCTTATAGACTACATCATGTGGCAAATGGTATAATGGACAATATCACTATGGAGGAGACGAACATGCTGGTGGACTTACAAACCACCAGTCTGGGAATGCCTTCTGATATAATGCCACAGATAACAAGATATGCTAAAGCCTACTCAGTGACAATTCCGCATCGAAATTAGTGTGGAATTGCAAAGAAGCTCTCGGTGACATAGGGAGCGAAATGAAGACCGGTTGATATGGATACCAGGGCACACAGGGTCTAGAGGGAAACGAGACTGCAGACCCTCTGGCAAAGAACGGGGCTAGCACACCCTTCATAGGGCCTGAGCCAGCGATTGGGATCGCATACAATACGGCTAAACAAATAATCTCTGCAGAGATGGACAGAAAGATCCATCAATACTGGGAGGGATTAGCAGGGTTAACCCATGCTAAGGCAACTATAAATATCTTGACAAAGTAGATAACAGACTCTGTGCTATGGCTGAACAGGAATAGCCTCAAAGCTCCAGTAGGACTGCGCAATGGTCACTGCAAATTGCGACACCACATAAGCAGGCTGGGCATGGCGGAAGACGCTGAG